GTATATCTACTATATATTAAACAAACTTAACTGAATTTGATTGACCCAATTTTAGATTTCTATATATTCACTGACTATCTAAAGCAATCCCATCCAAATTGGAATCAATTAAATGGGCTTGATTTCACATTGGTCATAACGCTATGATTTTCGAAGCGAACCCAGATATTACGATAAATGGAGCTCTGCAGCATTGGATTTGCACTTTTGTGGGTTACTTTACCTCCTGTTTATCCTTTTCCTTGCGGGCGTTTTCCTCGGCTTTGCGACGACGCCACATCCGCAGGCTCTCCTCGGCATTCTTGCGCTCGACCAGGCGCTTCTTGTCGTCGCACCACATCAGCGGATGCTGAATGTGGTCGTGGCAGAAGGTGCCCATCTCATCGCTGGTTGTCATCCTGGCTAGCAGCTGGAGAAGCGGAAGTATCGCCGCGCTCAGCTAATGACGCGCTACTGAAACAGCGCCGTGGCGAACCCAAACCTTCGACATCCAAGTCGCGTTAGCCGTCGCGTCGCGCCGCGTCGATTGGGCCGCGCTGATCCGTGCCAGGCACGGCACGGCTATCGGGCTCAGCTCAGGGCCTGCCCAACCACTGCGGTTGTCTAGGCAGCGCCGCTAGCCAGCCAGTTATTTATAGTCTAGGTTAGGGCGGTGCACAGACTGCACGTGAGCGGTGCGCGGATGTCCTTGAAGTTGTTTGTTAAGCCAGGCCAGGCCAGGATTGCATTTCATTTGCGTAACTCGCTCGCCATTACAATATTTTTGCAGTTAGGCAAGCCGCCTCTGTTTGCCTTTTGGGCGAGGCTCGGATATAAAATACATTTATTTTATTGTAAACTATGCGAGCTGTGGTCTACTGCTCCACTGGGGCCCAGTTGCCCCAATTTAGCCCCACTCGTGTGCCTTTGTATTAAAATAGAAAGTTACCAGAACTATCAATATTGGCCAGGAATTCGGAGCGCTTCAATGTTGCGTGCGGCGCTCTATGGTTAACGTTAACCCAATTAAGAAGCCCTGGGCTAACTTGTTGATGTTTGCCTAGCACAGCTGTGTGCCCTGGCAGGAGACGCGCCGTCTCCTGCCCCATGACAAGACACACCCGTGCATGAAGTTCCCTCTCTGTTGGCTTAGTCCAGTTGTGAGCAGTGAGACGCTGTTGGAGTTTGTTGTTGTTTTATTAATTTGATTTATTCTTTGATTGACTATCGATTCGTTTGCTTAACAAAATTGCATTTATTCAACTATTGAAATATACAAATTCCGTAGTATAATTATTAATAATCATTATCAAAACATAGTCAACAATATTTGCACATTTATTCTGACCAATTACCCGAGCACCAAACTGTTTTATCAACTATGCAAATGGAGGCTATCTCTAGTGAAATGGGATTCGCTTAACACGGCTGTAAAGGTGCCTTTGGCTTAACGAGACTACTTCGAAAACCGAAACGGGGACTCAAATTAGTTCATAAATTACAAAAGTTCTTAAAATAAATTTACAATTACAACTCAATCAGCTCTACAAAGATTGCTTTCTGTTTCTGTTTCTGTTTCTGTTGCTGGATGTTCACATTGTGGGGCACAAAAACATGTTTAAATTAAGACTGGGGCAGCATTGTTTAAATAGTATTTCATATTTTCCTGATTGACCTTATCAACTACGGGTGATTATATAAGAATGCTGTGCATTTCATGCTCGAACGGTTCAAAGCTCAACTCGAACTAAATTAGTAAAGAAGGTACAAAAAATATAAGGGATCGAAAGTATATATAAATTACAAAAGGTTTGTGCTGTCTGAAAGGGTTTACGGTGCCGATTGAACCATTTAGGCATGAAATGTCCGACGAAACAAATCAACAAAATAATATGTAAGTATATGTATAAATTTAAGGGTAATCATTAGGCACTGCTCTCTTCATAAATATCGTTGCCTGCATTGACTAATCAAAACTTTCATCAATTCAACAGAATAACAAGAATTGCGCGAATTGAAATTTCCCGCAATATGCAATTCCGAATTTCAATTTGAATTTTTTTTTTTTTGCCTTTTGTTACTTGAGTTTTGCTTAACAAATATATATAAAAAATTCAAAAGATTTGCATTTCTGCGTGTTGAAACTCTTTTCAAATTGTGCATATACATATGGGTGTGTATATGTGTATATATAAAGTTAGTAATATAGTAATCGCTGTCGGTCTGTAAATTTGTTACAATCTTCTGTGTACATTTGATGCAATTATTTACAGTGTCAATAACAATGCTTAAAAACTAAATAATAAATTTTTTTGTTTGTTTTACCTTTTTCTTTTCTTTTCTTTTCTTTTTGTAGATTTTCTAGTTTCTTTTTACAAATGTGTAGTTGTCGCTCTCATTTGCTGACCTATCTAGCACTATGCGCTGCTGCCTGCTTCTAACTTAGGACTATGTATACATATATATATATTAATTTGTATAGATGTCTGAAGAGCTCTACTTCATGCGATTGATGACTAAGTCGGCGACGACCTGGAGGCCCTTCTGGTAGGGCGACTCCGTCAGCTCCTGGGCCAGCCGTATCGCTTCGTTGCAGTGCTTCTTGGCCAGGAAGCGCGTCTGCTCGAGTCCATGCGACTTATGAACCAGCTCGAAGGCCCGCTCCACATCGCCCGGTTCGCTGAAGCGACGCATCACCATCGGATTGAGCTCGGGATACTGAAAGCGAAACAAATGGGAAACACCAAACTCGAAATTAGAAATGAAATAGCCCGTCATTGATTGTTAGAGCTTTAGTAATCGGCCGAGCGCCACCCTCGCACAGAGTGTTGAGGCTCGCATGCCAATGCAAACGCATTTGCATTAGCCCGTCTCTATGGCCCCATGATACGCATGGATATGGCTAGTTTTTACTTTTTAACTGGCCAACTAGGCTGGCGAGCGATCGTCACTGATTAGCGGCTGCTTTGAACGCATTGCACGTGCGCGTTTACCACGCTTCGCATATTAAGCCGACTCGAAAACGCCGTACAAACGCATTTCACGGCACGCGATGCGACACTCTCAGCTAGCCGCATGATATCATCAGACGCACACCGGGCCGAGCGAGTGGGAAATGCACATAGACAGCGCTGCGCAAACACAGTTCTGGCCAATTAACAGCAGTTGTTTTCACATGACTTCAAATCATATACTGCGCAGTCGTCAGGCTGTTGTCAGAGCAATAAGGAAGTCTGTCGGCGGCTCACCTTTTCGCATGCAAAGAGAACCGGCGCCGTGGCCAGGCCCAGTTTCAAGTCAGCTGCCGTCGGCTTGCCCATCTGCTCCGTGGAGGAGACGAAGTCCAGCATGTCGTCCACCAGCTGGAAGGCCAGCCCGATATTGCGTCCGTATTGGAATGCCACCTCCGCAACATTGTCATCGGCCTGGGCGATAACTGCGGTCTGCGAAATGCCAAAATCGAAACCCAAATTAAAGCCAAATTCAGACAAATATTTCAAAGTCAGCCGCCGGCCAATCAACTCCAGCCATCGACCACCCAAATGGGCACAATGACAAACGCACTCGGACAAATCGGCGACTGCAGATGCAATGGCGATTTGAAATGCAATTGCCATCGCGATTCGAGCTGCATGTTGATTGCCGGCGGGCTTACTCACCGCCTTCAACGCATTGGCAATCAGCGATGCGGTCTTCCTGTATGTCTTGGTCAGATAGTGCGCGAAGCGCTCGTTCTCCGTTTCCCTCGAGCCCAGCTGCATGAATTCTCCTTGCACCAAGTCGGTTAAAATCTGAAATCAATCAGGGGTAAATTGTTTAGTTCAATGAGAGTTTCAAT